AGTGTTACTACAGGAGGAAACCTGAACTAAACTAACTTTATTTATACTGGATAGCTCTATCAGTTCTAAACTGTTCTCCCTAGAGGTCCAGTAAGGATCATCTCTTATTGATCCAGTGTTAGTACAGGAGGAAATCTAAACTAAACTAACTTTAATTGTTTTTGTTTGTGGAAACACCACGTAAATTTATTACTGCAAAGCTTTCGATCCGTAAGCCCGGATCTTCATCAGTGCTAATAATATGATATATATTATTAGCACTGATGAAGATCCGGGCTTACGGATCGAAAGCTTTGCAGTAATAAATTTACGTGTGTTTCCACAAACAAAAACAATTATATTTTATCGCCATGCAAACATTCAAAGAACTTAAACTAACTTTATTTATATTGGATAGCTCTATCAGTTCTAAACTGTTCTTTCTAGAGGTCCAGTAAGGATCATCTCTTATTGGTCCAGTAAGGATCATCTCTTATTGATCCAGTATTTATACTTGGTAGCTCTACAATGTTCCAATATTGCCACGGATGGATACAGCAGTACCCAACGAAAACCTGCGCTGTTTGGTAGAGTCAAAATATAAGCACTCTGTTCACATGTGACGCTGTTGTGAAATTATAATCAAACAACTACAATTGCAGGAATAGATCTCCGTCACAGAAATGCAACACACTAACCAACCATACAGTATGCGTTAACCACCAACAGCTCAATACAACGAATAAATTAAACACATGAAACCAATCTTCAACAATAGAATAAGACACAAACCCCTTTAATAATAGACGTTCCTTCCTTGGATAACGATTTCGGACAAGAAACACTGTGTTCTAGAATTGAGTTGAAGAGTTCTTCTTCATCATCTCCATCAAATGGAGGCTAGAAAAAAAGACAATAATTGGGGAAAAATTATTAAACGATGCGGGCCATGCTCACAATTCCTAGCAGAAAGTTGCGTTACAGGTGTGTTATCCGTCTCTTGTCTACATCGAGCCAAGCCGCCTTTAAAATTCATTTAAAAAGCCCTTACCTGTCCAACTAACATTTCAAATATTAACACGCCAAGCGCCCACCAATCAACTGCAAATGAATACGCTTGATAGGCAACGATCTAAATAAATAAGACAATGTAGGAAATGTTGTTATCAATCTATAAACAACTCTCTACTAGCTTAACAACTACTGTAGTTTAAAGCCAGTAAGACAATGTGAAACGAAGTGAGAATTAGGGATGAGCCGATTAATCGGTAAATAATCGGCAAAGCCGATTAATCGGCCGTTTTTTAAATAATCGGTAATCGGCCGATTATTGCCTGATAATCGGCACATAATCGGCCATAAGACTTTTTCTGCAACTGCCGAGCACATGCTAGAATACTGAATACAAGCGAATAGATTTTCACATTTTGTTGCAAAACCTGTGTCTTTTGTCTCAAGTGAAGTGAAGCTGGGAACATATCCACTGAAAAACGCAGCAGAATAGCTCCGCATAGCTGACAATATCCTGTTTTCACACCATAATCTGCCAAAACTTAACTTTGACTATTGACATGCAAGATTGAAGCTGTTTTTAATTGTACATAGTGTGTACTGTAAACAATAAAACCGCAATTACAACTTCATTGTTGGTCAATTTGTGATTTTTCGCTTGCTTTTTAAAATAATCGGCGGGTACCGATTAATCGGCCGATTAGTTACGATAATCGGCTTATAAATAATCGGCCTCAGTAATCGGCAATTTTCCTTATCGGCTCATCCCTAGTGAGAATTATTACTACTTATATAACTGTTGAACTCTATACCTCTGGAGCAATATAGTCAGGCGTGCCACAAAATGTCTGTGTCTTTTGTGGATGAAACATGTTTTCTTTACACATTCCGAAGTCAGCAATCTTTATATGACCATCACTGTCAAGCATCACGTTGTCCAGTTTTATATCTCTGCAAAGATAAAATGTTCTCAATTAGAGGTTAAGAAATATATCATGAACGCGACTGTGATAATAGGGCCATTTATACGTGACAAAATAAGTCGCGACTTACATAAGACGCGACTTAAAAATAAGTGGAGTTATCGCATAAATGGTTCTCTACGGCTTTGGTCTTATTTATTTGCTATAGCTATAATGTTGTTTTGGTTGCTCTTGTTTTAATATGCAAGGCATTAAATTTTACGTTGTTTCAAGTTTCTGGCATGTGTAGTTAGACTTTTTGTCCAAAATTTCTTATTTAAGACGCGACTTAAATAAGAACAGCTAAAAGACCTGTTCTTATGTAAGACGCGTCTTATTTTGTTCCGTATAAATGGCCCTAATGTGCCTATAAAATCTAACAACAAAAGCAATAACAAAAAAACAACGACGACAACAACAACAATAACAACACAACAGCAACAACCAACACAACAACAACAGCAACCAAAAAATAGGAACAACAGCAACAACAGTAGCAGTAACAAAAACATTAGAACAACAACAGCAGCAACAACATTACAACAACTGCAGCAACAGCATTATAACAACAACATTACAATAACAACAATAACAACAGCAGCAACAACAACAACATTACAACAACAAAATTACAACAACAACATTGCAACAACAACATTACAACAACAACATTACAACAACAACAGCAGCAACATTATAACAGCAACAGCAACAACAACAACAACAACAGCAACAACAACAACAACAGCAACAACGACAACAGCAACAACAACAACAACAGCAACAACAACAGCAACAACAACAACAGCAACAGCAACAACAACAACAACAGCAACAACAGCAACAACAAACAACAAACAACAACAGCAACAATAGCAGCAGCAACAACAGCAGCAGCAACAACAGCAGCAGCAACAACAGCAGCAGCAACAACAGCAACAACAACAACAGCAACAACAACAACAACAACAACAACAGCAACAACAACAGCAACAACA